CTCTTTACATAGTCTTGCTGAAGCACCACAGCTATCCTCCGCATCCCTTGGCCTTCCACGTCCTGTTCAAGGTGGCTCCTTTGAGCTGCCCCTGTATCTCTAACCTATAGTCTAAATCAGGGATCGAGCGCTCTATGCAGCTCTTTCAATATGTACATGTACCTCTGAAGTGAAATTGAAAAAATGTACAGCTTATTCGGATAATGGTCATTTCATTTGCTTGTAAAAATATATGTATGGCTCTCGAATAATTTTTAAATTGTTGCAAGCAACAGTATTGGCTATTCCCTTTCAAAAGTTTGCTGCCTCCCTGGGCTAGCCAATAGGAAGGGGAAAGGAGCAGAGAGAGCATTCTTCTCCTGGGCAAAACTCAGAAATGGGACCTCACACATCTGCTCAGATCCTATTGGCCTTAACAGTCACCCGAGCACATCTAGCTGAAAGGTAAGCTGGAGAATGTGGTACCCAGTCCCAGGTGCTCTATAATTAAAGGAGGGGAGCGTGGGCCCGAGCAAACTTCCAGCTGTTGGTGACCCAGAGCACCTTCTTCTCATTGGAAGCTCACACCTGCAGTCACCGACTTCACCTTCACTGGCATCACTGCCTGGGCCTAAAGACCATGGAAACCACAAATCCCAGCACGTTGTGCCAAGCAGCAGCAGCCAGATGTTTATTATCAATTAAGCTTCTGAACTCATATAGATCAATGAAATGCACAAAGCCTGTCACAGCTCTAAAACCCTGCTGTGTTCTTTTCTGAGTGTCTTCTCCTACCTCACCCACGTAGGCTCTTCATCTTGATTAATCCGTTATCCTTGAACAAGACCAGTGGCTATGGGCTGCCCTTCTAAGTATTTTGCAGTGCCTCTCCCAAGCACAAAAGGTGTGTTCTCTTATATAGCACGCATACCCTGGTAAACAACTACCCTGAGCATTTCTAGTGGCATTTTAACTTCCTTAGTAAATCCTTTCATTGTGATACTGTTCCCCACGAGTTTCTGTGTAGCCAGTGCAATGGATACTAGAAACCAGACATAAACTACAGAACATTGAGACAACTCAACAGAGAATATTGACATTTACGCCACTCCTCTTAGAGCCCTTGGCCTGGGCCTCTGGTTTCAGCCTGGCTCCTTTGTTCTTTCCTTTGGTCTCCATGCCCCAGCCTCTGGTCTACCTCTACACTTCAGAGAGAAGTCTCGAGCAGGCTCCAACGGTGAGTCTACCTTCAAGGTCCTGGGAGTTCGGTTTCCCAGGTGGCTCTTCCACAGAGGAATGGCTTTGACAGAGGTGTAGTTTTTGTTCTTTCCAATATCTCCCTTCACCCACTTTTCTGCTGTCCATCCCCCAGGGAGGAGGTCACATGTAGATCCTTGTAATCGGTTCCCTCTTTCCAACCCACCCTCCCTCCACCCTCCCAGT